TGAAATATAATCAAACCAAATTTTAATTTTTACATTTTTACTCACGGTATTCTACGCCCATCACGATGTCGCGGAAATTCTTCCTGGTAGTTTCCTCGTCGAGTGGTTTGTCAGTGGGCACCTGTAGTATCTCGCCCCTTTGAATCAATTCGAAGACAAGGTAAAGGTTGTCCTCGTCTGGATCGTCGAGAACTTCCACTAGCTTCACGACGTTCGGATGATCCAGTTTCTTCAACAAGGCAATCTCTCTGTAGACCTTGGCCAAAGGGTTAGCCGATCCCTTTTTCCCCGGGATCATTCTACCGAAGACACCTGCTTTCTTCATCAGCTTCTTCTTACTGAGAATCTTCATCGCGTAGTGGGTTTCGTCTTCTTCGTTGTAAACAAGTTTCACGATCCCGTATGAGCCCTGTAACATTCGAAATATACGAGGACAAGATACGAAATGGTCGGTACTAAAAAATTCTTGCAAATGAAAAACTTTAATTGGACGAATCTCTTTCGTTTTGACACAGTTTCATTGTCGCTGATATTTTACGTTTCTACACGTGTAGAATAAATGTCGACGAAAAACACGTTAAATTGTTAATTAGCAGGGCGTTGTTTAATTCTCACGATATCGCGATTCTCGTTTTGTCAGGATTTTATCAGTGTCTCCGCGTTGGGTGTTGCGTTTCCGTCGCACGAGAGCAGCGTTACATTTGAAATCAGGCGAGTTTCAATTTTCACTGTTAATTACATTCGCAATTATCGGTTCTTGAATATATCGCTGCACGTGTACGAACCTTTAGAATTGAATGTTTTTTGATGATGTTAGTTGAAGAATCGTTGGCTTGAAAATACTGTTTCGAAGGAATAATAATTAAAAGTTTGGAACCTCTGATGTATAGCTTGCAACCTTTGTTTGTAACGAATATATGCTATACTTGAGACTTTATATTTCATTTAAATGATTTCACGTTACGCTTAATGTATGATTTAATATTTCATCTGGCCCGTTGAATGATATTATGTTACAATAATAATCATTCATCATTTAATACACCACGTACTGTTACATGTATACACGTATCATGTAAGGACTACTTATTGCCAAGTTTTTCTAAAATTTCATCAATTTATTAATCTTCAAAAGACCTACGTTATTCAATCAAACGGATTGCTTTCATTTTTAATTATACCAAAATAAATTACTTCTCCTAATATGAAAAAAATCAACCAATTACGTACAATAATACGAGCATAATTAAACAATCAATCGAGAACTCACCTGACCAATGTTGTCCAACAATTTATACTGATTCAGCTGAAGAGCTCCCTCCTTGTTGTCGATGGAAACTCTTCTGCTCTCTCTCAGAGGTTTCCTCCTGTTCCTAGGACTCCCCTGAGGGCTCCCGTACGGCGAACAAGGACAATACGGATAAATAGGTCTGACCGACACGGTTTGACTCCCCTGGCTCGTGCCAGCCTCTCCAGATGAAATCTTCTCTCTTGCGTTCGGATCGTCAGCAGTTTTGTCCGAAGTCAGCGTGTGAATATCGCTGGACGCACTGTTCTTTAACGTGGATACGCTCGACGACGTGTTCAGAGATCTTGTCGAATCCATCGTCGCAGCCACGTCGCAGGATTTGTTGGCGAAGTTTCTTGAACTTGACTCCAGGAACACTGGTGTCGTAGAGCGTGGAGCTAGTTGAGTCGGACTCCTCGAAGCTGGAGATAACGAGAGACGGTTGATCGAGTCACTGAGAGAAGCTTCAAGAAGACCAGACGAGTCTTGGTACTCAATAGCTATCTCCGACGTGCCTTTCGGAGGGAAATGTAGATCTTTCACTTGTTTGGTACATGGAGCATCGTCTCTAAGAACCTCTTTAACCTCTTCAATGTTTGGCATCTCGAGTCCAGCTCCGGACACTTCCCTGCGAACCTTCGTAGTGGGCATCCTTTCGACTTCTACGTCCTCGGTTAGACTCCCCTCGGCTCTGCCCAGCACCACTCTCGAGTTCAACCGTTTGAGACCAGCGGAGGACCTGCGTCTCTCTTTCGGAAACGACGAGTCCTGTAGAACGTCGACAGACGACGAGTTCCTTCTGTCCTCGTCGAATGTACCGAAGTTGCTCTCGTACCCGCTGCTCCCTCGCCTAGGGCTGACGATCCTTGGACCTCGGGATTTAAGATTCTCGCGGAGAGCTGGTAGACCTTGTGCCTCCTCCAGGAACAGAGCACTGTCCTTTCTAACCTCGACGATTTCACGGTCGCAAGTGTCCTCGGGACTGGATGGAACTCTGATGGACTCTTCGGGACTTTTCACATCTTTCGACGTCTCTTCCGACGGTAGCTTGATGGTCACTTTGCTCTCCAAGTCGGAGAATCTTCGTACCTCGAACGATCTGTCTGGACTTGATTTTTTTAATAGAACCGGCGATCTGTCGATCGGTGTCGATTCGAATCGTTGTACCGGAGAGTTGGTGGATTTGTTCAGGATGTTCGGAGATTGAGAGTGCCGTTCTGTTCCAGGATGTCGGGGCCTAATGTTTGCTTTTGGTTCGGATTTCTGGGTGGAGGAGTCAGTCGCGGTGCTGGGGGGCAGTGGTTGATCGATGTTTTCGGATGCATCCAGAGGAATGTCCAGCGAGGTGTCCACCGGGGACGACGTGGCCACTGTCGGCGACCCGGTGATCGAGCTTGGGGACTCTTCGTCGACCGCGTTCCCCCTGAAAACGAAAAAGCCGATGCTCTTCTTAGGGAACAGGTTTCCTTTTTCGAGAATGAGCTATTTGTTGTTTAGACTTTCTTTCTTCTTTGGCGTGTTTCAATTTTATACCTTCTCTGTCCTTGTTGTTCATTCTTTGATTTTGTGCTCCTTCATCTTGACCTTAACTTTATCCTTAAGGAATAGATTTTTTCCTGCTTTATTTCTATTATTTCTAAAGACTTTAACGAAACTAAATAAAAATAAATTTATCGCCTTTCTGCTCGCGTTGTTAGGAAATAGAAATACGATGTGTTCGCGCGACGTTTGACAATAGTTCCCGTTCCATCCTTGGTGTCGAGAGTTTAAGACTCGAAACGAAATTCTGTCGACGCGAGACAGGTTCTGGGGGCTCTAGGAGCCATTTTAGCCATTCACATTGTCAGTTCATTTTATCTCGCTAGAATTACTTTTCCATTCCTTCTTTCAACGACCAATTCTTTGGAGATGGGATTACGTTAAATGAAACGAATTCTAAGACTTCTAGATCAAACAAAAAATTTTTATATACATTCTGAAAAATACGAATCCACAGAGATATTAACCACGATGTACATAGTACGAAAAAGTGTGGTTACAATTTACCAAATGAGGTCTCTTATCCGTTCTCTCATTTATATCTTCAAAGATTTTCCACAGTTTGAGTGCAAGCCTGAGGATAATATTGTAGAGATAAAATGTGAATGATATTTATTTAATAAAAGTAACGGTGATTAAACAACGAATAATTAGACAAGACAAATAACGCAGATTAACGACTCGAATAAACTATTTTAACTCTTTTGAACAACTTTCTTTTGACGCTTTTTCACGACTCTGTTTTCCAACTCGCTCGACTTCTCAAATTCATACTTTTTTCTCGTTCAGGCTTTTTCTATGATCAGTAAATAACTTACAGGCCGTCTGACAGATTATAATAACTACGATGCTGCAATATTGAAGATCAGTATGCATGTATATGTCAATCGTTCGATCGAACAATCGAGATGTACGAATCGTTCGACTAGCTTCATCAGCAATTCGCTCGGAAGTCTCAGCCTCCGGGGATCAGCTCACGAAGCTCATTAAATCCTCAAGGTAGCTTGCCGATTCGCAATTGCGCCAGTGAAAATGACGAAAATATGAAATTTAAATGACTCGCGGAGACAGCGAGCGATTTGAAGCGAAACGAATGCGAGAGAACGTTTCCTTTCGCCCGGGACGAATTTAATTTAATGCACGCCTGGAAGACTATGTTTTTCGTAGCATATCACGTCGATGTTTCGTCGATTTCTCTTTATTCTGTTTCTTTTTTTCCCTGCGATTGATGTAAAACTTGATAAGTTAGATGTGATAGATTTCAGAACGAATTAAACATGTAGACCGTTCTTCTTCAAATGATAAGAATATCAAATGACTTTAAATGTCCCACGATCAAAAATCGAATAAAGCTAACTTGAAATATCTACAATACCAGTTTTAACTTGCATATTTACAACACACGTTTACAATGTTTTATAATATTAAATTAATTGATATTAATTTCTGCCCGGACAGATGCACAATCGTGCAAATCCATCCATTCTAGTTATCCATTTAAATTATAATAATTCACATGCCGGGAATATATTCCAAATATATTCCTAGTGTTGGTAGACATTTTATTTATTTATTTATGTTTGATATTTTTGGACAACCAGAGTCAAGTATATACAGGGCATATCCCATTGTGAAAATCTCCTCTAGAGATCGACGAGAAGGCGAAAGTGCAACTCGTCGATTTTATTCCTAGTGTTGGTAGACATTTAATTTATTTATTTATTTATTTATGTTCGATATTTTTGGACAACCAGAGTCAAGTATATACAGGGCATATCCCATTGTGAAAATCTCCTCTAGAGATCGACGAGAAGGCGAAAGTGCAACTCGTCGATTTTATTCCTAGTGTTGGTAGACATTTAATTTATTTATTTATTTATTTATGTTCAATATTTTTGGACAACCAGAGTCAAGTATATACAGGGTATATCCCATTGTG